TGTTGCCAGGCATAAATTTGTTGCTGCTGCATCCTTGCACACAGCATGTCGTTATCGCTGGTACGGAAGCTAACACTCAACGTTAATTGTCATCCACATCGTTCTGCTGCCCATTAGACACTGCATTCAAGACATTCACCAACGATAAAATACACCTCACAATTTCGCGCACGGCAGAGAACGCAAGCAAGGGTGGAACACTGAAACTTTATAGGGGGTGTGTTGCATCGCAGACGAATTTTACGAGAGTACCTTTCCGTGGAGTAGAAGGGCTGCACTTAGTAATAACAGCGTGAGCAGAGAGCGCTAGAAAAAAGATTTTTCGTAATAATCAAAAACTGTCTTAAGTTCTTTGGTCATTACACCTACATAGTGTTGTTGGGAGAAAGAAATGTCATTTGTAAAACATAGGAATTGCTTTGACTTTGAATAAAACTTGGTTCTTCACTTTTAGTGTTTATTCCCTCCATACATAGTCACGCTTCAATCACAGCTCCCATAAATCCCCATGCTGATGTTGCTGACAATAGCTTCTGAACCGCTTTTTGCCCGAACTTTCGCGACCTATTTGAATAGACGCAGTTTTTTCACAGTTTTTTCTGCCAATGACTGGCATATAAGACGAGGGTCAACTTTTTATTGCGTTTTCTCTTTTTTGACCTACATATCGGTTTTTACGGCAGTTTTTGATAATTGCTAGCTGAATTGTCCACGTAGCAAAATAGTGAGATTTGCATAGAACTGTGACTCTAAATGACTGATGCTGACTAATTTAGAAAAGCTTAGTTATTTACTTGCAAAAAAGTAAAAAAGAAAACGCTTCAATAGATGGAGTCAGTTTATCTAGAAAGTTTTGTTAGTCACATATTTAATACAAAAGTGCAAGTTTGACATTTCTTAAAACTCATCAACACCTCTTTGAATGCTGAGCACAGTGGTGTCTCTTATAAAGGGTTTCAAGTGTATTAGCATGACAAGCCACTAAAGGGCCTTCATATTCTACAGAGAAGGTTCTCTAGCCTGTCGGAAGCACCATGCTTGCATTTAATCTACACAAACCTTATCACAAATGTTTGATCGTATTCGCTTTTTGTAATGAATACCAGATATAACCATGGCATTTTTAGTATTGTGGGATCTCGATGTGGAGAGCGCCACCTTGCTCTTGGAATGAACGGAGACAGCAGACGCAGTCGAAACGAACCAAGCCAAACACACATTTATTTCACTACTTTTGATCAACGATATCGTCAGCCAAATTACTATAACATCAATTGTGCTCACCATGCTAAAAATCCTTACACAAAATTACACAACACTCAACAACATAACAAACACAATAACACACACAAGGTGGCTTCGCCAACGCCTGACTCACCGCAAGGACCCCCGACAGACAGCCCGTGGTGCCGTGCACCGGGGACCCACGCGAGAGACAACCGTGGTGCTGCTCCCCACATCAAGACCCCGCAGTGTTAAATGCAGCATCATTGTAGGGAGTGTGGCTGCATACCTATTGTAATACTTTAATGGCCCCTAAGTAACCTTCGAAAACATAAAAAAAGGGGCATTATTCTCTCCTAGCATTTCACATCTTTCTGGTGCACTTCGTGACTCAAAAACAGTGATCCATGAAGTCTATATAGTACATACTCTTTATTTGTTCATATATGCGAAATGTCAGATGTGAATGGTCTCCTTCATTTCTTTTCCATGCAGTAGCCCATCTTTTCTTTCCTGTCTCGCTTGACTGACATACGCAATCTACTGATTTCACTTCATTTTGTGTTTCCAACTGCGCAAGCAGAAATAAAAGTTTATAGTAGACATGCACGAAATTTTGATAGGCTTAACGCTTAGTGCGGACATTGTACATGTTCTTTTAACAAATAAGTGGTAAAGAGGAGGTATCACCTCTATGAAGGGTATTGAAGGCAAAGAGAAAGCATTTTCTCTCCTTTAAGTGCAAGTTGGTGAGGGGCCTTTTGAAGTACAAAAACTTGTCAAAACGAAATGAAGCACTTAATTTTGTACAGCTTCTGCAAATTCAATGCACAACAGGAGATTAGAGTTTCATTTGCTGTTTGATATCTACATAATTGTTGCCATTCATTAAATAATGCACAACAACTGCCAAAATTTGTAGTAATACCACTAGTGACATCTTTGCACTTTCACAAGTAAATTTATTCATCAGTTCATATAATTTTGTTTCCTATTTTAATTGCACTTTTTTGCACTGAAATGGTCTGTGGCTAGGATACCAGATTTTAAGTCATTCACATAGCAAAACCTTCTCCTAAATATGAGGTTAACAGAACTAAAAACAGAATCAAATGGATATCGCGGCTTGCTCAGAGCTAGAGCAAAGTGGGAAAGGAGGGTTTCTGATGCAGCCCTCCTTCTCGTGGCCAGAGCAAGCGTGGAAAAGTGGCCTTGATTATCCGTCCTTTTTTCCATCATTGTCTCAGTCTCAGACAACCTATGGTTCTCAATATTGAATTTCGCTGCTTTCTATTATGCGAAGGCCACGTGTATGCCCACTCCTGAGGAGCAATGCATTAACGAAGACTAGTAATGACCATCTATAAAGAATATATTTGCGTGTGTTTACACACTTTTTGTTGCAATGGCTGCTGCCACCACTCAAGACAATATTGGGCCCGAGGACATACCGTGGCGCCAGCATGCAGAGGCATCCCTGTGACGTATATAGTGTAGTTGGATTGCTCCACTGCCTTCTCGCGCGCAGCCCGCAACCGCTTTTGCGTCTTTTTTTATTATTATATTATTATTGTATTATTCTTATTATTCTCAACGAAATTAGTAAAATACTGCTACAGCTTCTTTCCTGACCGTACAAAGTGCTAAATAACTTCCCTGGAAAAGTGTTGCGCTTCTCACAATGCCTGACTGCCGGCATCGTCGGCTATGACCAGCTATATAAAAAAACAACGGCGGCCGAGTACGCTGCCTCTGTAAAGGGTTACGACTCATTCCGTGTTGAATCGAACCATCAAATAGGTATTACCGGTAAACAAACTTATGTTTGCTGCAGTAAATGCGCGGAACTACGCTACTTCATTCATTGTAGGTTTGCATCCACAGACAGGCCGCGGTTGATATGACAAGCATGCGCAATATACTTTTATGTTTATCACACAAAACCATATGAAGCACAGTGCAAGCATATTCCCCGCTTTGTGGGAAGCAACACAGCAATCTTACAGCCGCATGTAGCCGCAACCTTTAAATTATGATTGAGCGCAAATGTGAGAATTACAAGCGTGCGTGCCTCATTCAGAGTTGTAACTTTTCTCTGTGGCATGCTCCTAGTATCTATCGCACAAAATTTCTACGGTGGTCACAGGTTCCACACATGGGTGAAAATTATGAATGATTGGTTAGTTCCAGAGCTATCTACAAAGGGGTAAATCGTGATTTAAAAAATGTGATGAGCTAGCGGTATCATTTTACTCCCTTGAGCATGCTGCGAGGTCTTGTGTACTGTGATCTAAATGGCAATTTCATGATTCAGTAAAATTGCTTGTGTCCAAGTCTTTTTTTTTTTGCAGTATCATTCATAAGTTGTGTGGTATTTCACGGCAGCTCTTCGAAGACGAGTCAGTTTTCGAAGCAGACCATGTTTATGCCTGTAGATCAACACAACATTAGGAGGAGGTGACAGTGGCTATGGGCTCATTCTACAGACGGAATCTATAAGCAAGGAACCCAGTAAGCTGAAGTCGCAGATGGCAGGGGCGTTGGCAAAATGTTTTTTTTCTTTGGGGGAGGGGGCATTATTTTTATTAGAACTGGGGGCCAGGCAGGCAGGTGTAGGTGACCGTTATTTTGTGCGCTATATACTACGGAAAAATTTCAGGGAGGGAGGGGGCATGGGCTTGGTGTGTTACTCCCTAGATACACCACTGGCGGATGGAAACCCGCGTCGTCAGGTACACACATAGGAACGAATGCCCGGAAAGGATGGTTGTGGCACAGACTGCGGTAAAAGTTAACTAGGTGAGAGAAGTAAGCATTAGCATAGACTAGAGCGCACATATATCATCTAAGAAAGAAGGTTTTGTTGAATGGGCTGATGGAATACGCAGAAGCAACTGACCACGAAATAGACCTGAATAGGGTAAAAATATTGAAAACAAAGGGAAATAAACTGGACTTCCGGGCTATATCCTGACTCTCTGACAATTCAGAGTTCCATTTTAAAATACACATAAACTGTGCACATTCATTTTTAATTCTGAACAAGGCTCCTGTGCAAAAACCGAAACGTTCTGCTTTTATCTGAACATTTATGGTCTGTGCTCATTTTAATCCCATGGGCTTGAAATAATAACCACAACAAAGAAAGAGAGAGGTGACAGTAGCACTGCCTGCGGCTCGACAGTGGCATCGCATACGTAGTGTGCTGTTTCACGCCGCCGGTAATGTTTACTGCAACTTTCTGCATTGTGTACTCTGCAGAAGCCTGCACAGATGAAGTCGGAGCAATACAATGCTGTTAAAAAAATGAAAACACCTTGAAGTCGCTGTTTAAAGCAATGCATCCAACCGCCAGCTTTCCTTCGCCAGAGCGAGTCTAGATCACGTGATCCAACCCTGCACGTCACAGTGATTGCAGAGCTCGCGCCTTCAGTATTTGCCTCGCACTCAATAATGTGTCTATAGCTTTCATCAAAATTCTTTGTCTCCTTAATTCTTTGTGTTGTGTGCTATAGAGCTTTGCCGGTTATCCACCTTCACAGAGTGGAATGGCTCATGAATTTTTTTATTGCAAGTTTCCCTTATTCTGCAACTTAGCTCACTTGTTTTCTATGGCACATCAGAACTTTAATGTCCATTGAGAAGTGAGACAATTGTGATATCCTGTGGCTCTTTCCTTCTTTCTTCCTTTCTCCTCTTGATGATATAAAATACTACTACTACTTGTTTTCAGTTATTGTAGACAAAGTCTTGCCTACTACATTTTGTCTTTGTAGGATGAACCTACCACAGGCATGGACCCGTACACACGGCGATTCCTTTGGGACTTGATTCAAGACCTAGTGCGAGGAGGCCGATCAGTGATTCTGACCTCTCACAGGTTAGAATAATAGGTTTTTAGCATTTTGGGCTGTTTTGCTTCGGCTGAATGTAGTGTAATGTGCTTGGGTGATTGCCATGTATTGTTACTACGTCTTACCTCAGAAATCGTTGTGTAGTTTGCTGGTTGCATGCAGATCAAAAAATACAATTTGATAGAATTTAGGAAAAGCTATGCGCTACAGACACATATTTTATTTTCACTAAAGTACATAACGAAATGGGCTCATACATTTTATGAGATGACAATTTTTATGGTAGGCTTATTCTTTTTTTTTTTTTCACACATTTTCAACAAAGATCTCAAAAGGTGTTCATAGGTTGTCAGTACTGCGCTGATGGAGATAATCACATGGCAGTGGGTGTAAAAGTTACCCAAATAGTTTTTACTAAAGGAAAGCCAAATCAACTTTGTAAATTTCTTGCTTCTGACACTTTTTCCATACCCTAATTGTGTCATTGTTCTTTGTCAGACTGAACGTTTAGCTTAATTTTTTTAGGGAGATTATAGACATTTTCACTCATCATCTAGCCGTTCGTTGCTCTCTTCTGTATGTTGTCTTTCTTGCAACGACTATCCCATGTACAATTGCTAATTAAGGATGTTGGTTTTTATTTCTGGCTCTGTGTAGTATCTCATTCACTCCATTACACATGACGGCATGAAATCTTCTCAGTTTTATTACGAGAGTATGCATTTCTCAGACCCGGTTATAGTGCATATATTATTACTGACAGAGGAGAAATAGGTGGGAAGTAATTTACATGTCTACAGGGACAATTTCTTCATTATTTCTTTGTTTCTAACATTTGAGCATTGTGCATTTGGGAGCTTAAACTATTGTACCCTATGCAAATATGATATTATTATTATTATTATTATTATTATTATTATTATTATTATTATTATTATTATTATTATTTGTTCATTATAACTTCAGCAGTAGTACAACTACAAATAGATGTGACAACTAGGTATATGTTCACAATACAAATTGGACGGTGCAAATATTGTGCTGTGGTTACTTGTAGGTCTTGAGTGTCAAGACATCCGTGGTCCTAAGTGCTACTTCTTAAAAGTTGCTGCACTTGTTTTCTTTTTTTAATAATTAGATTTGCTTAGCAAGCCATGAATGGACTAAATCCATCTTTACATAGTGCTCTATGGCATTCCAGTAGCATTTCTCAGATGTTTTTTTGTTCATTTCTTTTAAATGGTTAAAAGTTTTTCTTATGCAGCATGGAAGAATGTGAAGCCCTGTGCACAAGGCTGGCCATTATGGTCAATGGCCACTTCAAGTGTTTGGGCAGCATTCAACACCTGAAGAATCGTTTTGGGGAAGGCTACTGTATTACTGTCAGAACAAGAGGAACATCCCATGATGCCGTTGCTGCGTGGTTCCACAGAGTCTTCCATAATGCCACGCTCAAGGTTTGTGTACCTCTAATAACTGCATTTCAGTCTTGTATATGAGACAACCCATCATGGTGGTCTTGTGGTAATGGTAATTGACTGCTGATCTGAAGGTCGCGGGATCGAATCTTGGCTATGGCATGAGTATTTTGGTGCAAGACTTACTTGGGAGTCTTCGAATAGGGGCCCCAAAGAAATAGCGTCAAGTCCACTGCACATGTGCGAGACCCAAACAGGGTTTTGGTTTTGTGTTGGAGGCAATATTTCTCAAATTTAGTGGGAGCCCCAAAGCCTGCCCCAAAAGCTTTGCATTAGACAAACGTGACGGCACCCACTGAAGTAATGACTCTTGGCCAAGACTAGAGTGTCCTAGAATAGGGAGAGTGTCCAAAGTGTCGCAGACCCAATTTAAAAACTCTTCGCTCTTGCTTGACCCAAAGCGTGCATACGCAAAATGTTTGAAAACTCTTTACTTTCTTTAAATAAAGGTATTATTATGTTGAAGTTCAATTTTTTATGTAACTTGCAGTCCTCACAATTCATTTTTTTACATGGTAGTAACCTAGAAAATGTTTGATGTAAAGTAATTAAGTAGTCTGAAAATATTAATTTCAGTAACAAAAAAAACTTACAAACTGGCAAAACATTTAGGGTTTTATGCTGCACCATATAACTTCACATCACAGCTGCCATGGAGCATGTGGAAAGCTGAAAGAAACCAAGCTTCCAGGTACCATTAACTTTGATGAGCTGTGTAGATGAAGGTCTTGCAGCAGTTCTGCTAACTCGGTCAAGCACACGAGACAATTTCTGTTGCATAGCAGGAGTACCACCATGGCAATTACCAGATGTGTCATGATAATTGCAAAATGCTGACAGGGGAGTTACCAGTGTCACTTATCAATGGTGTGTGGGATGAGACTAATCAGTGTTGTAGCCAGTACATTATTTAATGGAGGGAGGGCTCTGCATTCTCATGCATGTAATATTTTTATATATACTATTTGTGTATGTGACTACTTACAACGGACGAAAAACGCCAGGCTTGCGGGGAAAGCGCAGCGCAGTCACAAAGAAAGCTAGAAAAGTGGCCTTTCTGAGCCTTTTATAAACACTCATTAGGTAACTGCTGCAAGCACACTTGCTGGGTACCCACTACGACAATAATAATAATTCCTGGGTAGTAGGCCGGCATTCGCTATGCTGTCCTTCATCATTCTTCTGAGGAGAGTGGTATCAGCTAAATACTTGCAAGGAATGTTGTGCCAATTGTTCTAGTAGTGGCTGAGGACAATGAAGAATTATGCCTTAAGTGGGTATGCGCCACAGTTAATAGGGGATCAAGAACAAGCTTTGTAATGGGTTAGAGCATTGGATGACCCACTCGTTATGCTATTCCCATTGTGTGATGCCTGATTGTTCTTTTGCTGTTCTAAAATGCTTTATTACTCATACAGTCAAATCTCAATAATTTGAACTCGAAGGGGCCCGAAAGTTTGTTTGAATTACAAGAAGTTCGAATTATTGAAAGCTAAGTAAACGGAGGGCTCCCCATGCAGTGACACATGTGCATTGAGCTAACACACGAGGGGGAAGTTTCAGAAGACTTACATTTATTCACAAATCACAGGACATTCGTCATTAATTGAAATAATCGGTGATGCGCATGTGCTCACGTTTGCCTTGCCGCTAGTCAATCAATTTCGCACGCAGCTCGCAAAGTATAGCTACTTCAGCTTCAGAATTCTCCTGGCAAGAGAAGTTGCGCGCAGCAATGTCCAGCGGCGACACTCTCTAAAGACGACGACAACAAACGACTGCATCTCCGCTACTACCCTCTGCACCCCGCCGCGGTGGTCTAGTGCCTAAGGTACCCGGCTGCTGACCTGCAGGTCGCGGGATTGAATCCCGGCTGGGGCGGCTGCATTTCCGATGGAGGCGGAAATGGTGTAGGCCCGTGTGCTCAGATTTTGGTGCACGTTAAAGAACACCAGGTGGTCGAAATTTTCAGAGCCCTCCACTACGGCGTCTCTCATAATTATATGGTGGTTTTGGGACGTTAAACCCTACATATCAATCAATCTACTACCCTCTGCGACAAAGCTGCAGCATGGCCAGCAGGTGACGAGAAAAGAGGAGTGTCTCCATGCGGAGTGAAGCAGATCGGAATTTGAGAGAAAACCAACACTTCATGGCAGTTTTTTTTTTCTCTCTCTTTTCTCACGCATCGTTGAAAGGAGAATGGTTACTTGTCAGGGACAGAAAGGAAAAGCGTGGCACCGGTGCTTGAGAGAATGGTTTGGGAGAAGGGTCTTTACGTGGCAGGGGTAGAAAAGGGAGAAGCATGGCACAAATGCCTCGCATATCGGAATTTGAGAGAGAGAGAGAGCAAATATTCTATCACAGCCTTTTCTTTCCTTTTCCTTTCCTTTGCGCGTAGCGTTGAGGTGTTGGAGGTGCCGCCGCGGAATTGGGCGGGGTGCTGAGAGCATTTTCGGAGCACGGTATGTTCAAGTTAACTGTCACAAGTGCTTGCGCGTTTGAATTACCGGCCGTTTTCGCCCATTGGAATACACATAGCTTTGATGAGACCTCATCGTGAGTTTTAATTAACTGGAAGTTCGAATTAAGCATGTTTTAATTAATGAGATTTGACTGTATTAATGCAATTCCTTTCCCGACATCAAAGCTGCCTAAGGCAAGTTTGCAAATAAGTCCCAAGCACCGGAATAGCTCAGTGGTAGAATACTGGGCAGGCACGCAGCGGACCTGGGTTCGAGTCCCACTGTGCCCTTGGTACGAGGTTTTTTTTTCTTATTTCGTGCGATAGTGGTTATGGACACCGGTGGCGTGGTGGTGGCAGCGGGGGCGGTGCACAACTACGGCACCGCACATAACCCGAGTTGTGATCTTATAACAGCTTTTGCTGTAAAGAAAAAAAAACTGCGATTAAATTCAACATGCCTCCTGTTGAACGATGGAAACACAGTGCCAACCAAAGTAAAAATATATTCTTAAAAAGAGGTTTTGGCTTCTACATGGGAACCTTGCTCACAAAAACAAAATGTCTTTTTAATGATATATTTTTACTTTGGTCAGTGCTGTGTTTTCTTTGTTCAGTGTGTTTCTCTGGCCAGGAGAGATTCCACCAAACTCTTGACTTTGTCTCTTGTTCAAATGTAGTATACATACAGCAGAGCATCATTTTGCATCATGTCAGTCATTCTTGTTTGGCATGACACTTTTGTTTTAATTGCTGGTACATTCTCAGGAAGGTTTCACAGAATCAACATTATAAATGTTCAAAGAAGGGAGCTGATTTTCTGTGTCATTTGTTTCAAGTACCCGGCACACAGCAGCAGCAATAGTACATTCCAGAAAACCCAGAGATTTTTGCAAAGATAGTTTCACATTAAAAATTCAACCTCTCTTCTCTTCTCCTGGTTCCACCGATAAGACCAATTGACCAGATAGATTGTGCTGAACGTTTACTGTATGAATAAAACTTGATGCTGGGCAAGTTGGTTTACAATCGGAAGGAAAAATAGGGTTACACACGAAGTACACGAGAATACAGGAGGCACAAATGAGTGCAAGCTTTGAACTAACACGCTTGATATGCATGTTTATTAGGCTTGTGCAAATAATGAATTTTAGATTAGAAGTGAATAGTGATTTTGGTAAAATGATTTTGAATTGAATTCAAATAGTGTATATCGCATATTTAAAAGAATGGCTATATTTGTCATTACCCAACTAACCTTCACAGTACTTTTTTTTTTAAATTGCAACAAGGCCTGTGCAATTTTTTTCTTGTTGGATCAAAGGAAGTTGAAAGAATTTTAAATAGTAGCAGGATTTGACTATCAGCTGTGTGCGAATGATGACCTGTAAAATATGTAACATTTTATACAAATAAGTGAAGGCTGAGGCACCCCAGCCTCACTATTTCCTGTTCGAAAAAGAATGGTAGATATAAATAGCTTGCCATTTGAATGTTGAAGGAGGTGCTCCTCCATGGCTCAGTAGTTAACGCCTCGCATTCACGATTCAGAGGTCCCACGTTCGATTCCGCGCGTCAGTTTTTTTTTCTCGCGATTATTTTTCTTTCTTGCGTTTATATATATATATATAGATACGTATACATATATGATGAGTGACGGCGACGCCGATGCCGACGCCAGCGGCAAAATTCAACGGGGAGTGTTCATACAATTTATATTGCAATAAAAGAAAAAAAAACGGTCTCGTGACCAACCAAAATGTGCGCTTGCAGAAAACAAGATCACACGGGAGGCATATTGCATGTTTCTCGCAACATCAGCGCATCATGATTTACCCATTCTTTCTGGGATTGTAAAGAAATTAATAAATGGAAATTTAGTGGAATTCGCGATGTATGCAAACCTCCGATTGCTGGTTGCTCCAGCAATTTGAGCACTTGCACTGCTGGCAAAGTTCTTGCCTGCAATGCCTACTTCGAAAACTAAGTTCAAAAGGTTCAAGGATCATGTCTTTTAGCCAAAACACATCGTGAATTCCACCACACTTGCCATTATTATTAAATTCTTTATTTCACCAGAAAAAAATGGGCAAATGGTCTCAACATTGGGACCATTTGCAGACGCAGCGAGAAACAAGTGATATGCTGCCTGCGTGTCATTACTGTATTGCAGTGAAGATGTCTTGTTTTTCAAAAGCATGCATTTCAGTTTATTACGACAGCGTTTTTTTTTTTATTGTGATAGCAATTATATGGACAGTCTCGGCTGGTTTTCGCCTCCGCCGCAGCTGTTATTCTCGTATATGTATATGTATGTATATATATACAGGAAAGGATGTGCCAGCCTCCTATTTCTGCAGAGTGAGCATCGCCTTTGGCGGCCGGGGTCGTCTGCGCGCGCTTATTTCGTGAGCGAACGAGATGAGTAGGACGCTTATGGTTGCCACACTACTGCGGCAACAATCAATGCGCGGCATGTGCCCTCGCAGCAGGCGGGAGCTTCTACGGGCTGCGCTCTCAACATGAAAAAACTGTGCCAAAAGTGTAGCTGGAGCGGCCGTGTTCTCTTAAACCAGCGTTTTGTAGAGCTGCGTGAGATCGAATCTAAATTGGTTGACTGCCAGCCTCACTTCGTATATAAATGCCGTCACTACGCATGGGCCTTGTTGTGGTCATCTACTGTGGCCACCCTGGAGGAAACTTGGTTACTTAGCAAGCGCATGTTTACTACAATTAGTATTGCTCCAAAAATGCTAGCCTTGCTTCGTAAAACATTCGAATATGTTGCTATCACATTCAATGCATCACCTTTTGGTGAAACTGTGGCTTTTTGTTTCAATGACTTTGACTTTTTTTTTTTCAATGCAGTAGTTAGGCCCCACCGTTACTCCATGTTTGCGGCAAAATTAATACCAGGTATTGCTGGAAAACATAACCTTGGAGCTGAAAACATAACCTTGGAGCCGAAAACTAGCCGACACAGCAAACGACCGCCCATGATTACTTCGAATAATTCCAAGTTTTTTGCATTTCACCTTTTTTATATTCTGTTAATTCGAAAACCTGCTTAATTCGAAAATTTCTTACGGCCCCAGTGACTTCGAAATAACGAGGCTTTACTGTATGTGGATGCAAATTACTATCCGAGTGTATACTATACATTAGGTTCTACTGGATGTAGATGAGCACCCGATTCGTTTCTTTTGGTGAGATGCTGTAATTAAACATAATATTCAGTTAGATATGACTGTACTCTTGAGCATAAGCAAGAGACCTTGCATTTATTTGTAAAGGCACTTAAAAAAATATTAGTAAAATATGAATAACAGCTGTCATCACATTAGGTGGCTCTCAAATACAGGTCAAAATGTAGTGTCTGCTTTTGCAAATAGGTACAAAAAGTTGCTTCACTAGTAGTTTTTCTAAAGAACTTTCAAGCTTGTGCAAGCTTTATAGGCTGAAAACTTACTATACGCATGACAGTACTAACAATACTACTAATAAAGAATACTACTAATAGTGTGTCATCGTGAAGCAGTTGTTATATCTGACAAAGAAATTTTCTTGTGCGGGATGGTGTCCAGCAGCACAGATATTCAGCGATGAGCTGCTTTTTAAATTTAGATCAATGCTTTTATTTTGAAATATTATTAATTATACAATATAAAAATATACTACAGAATAATTGGTATATTTCGTTTGCATTTTTCTAGCGATTACTTTCTGAAACAACATTTTTAAGAAGCTTCCATAGGATCACATGAATAATGCCTGAGGGTCTAGCTTCCTGTTTGTTGCATTTCTCATTCCAGCAGCTGTGACCAAAAACTACCGCAACATCACTAATGTAGCATTGTCTGTCAGCAGTATTTTCATCTGCCATTGCCGCCACTGAAAATGTATTCTAGAATCTGTGATGAATGGCAGATGGATCACCGTCGATGTTTTCGTATTGTTACCGAGTCATTGAGCTGAAGGTGGCTTGGGATGTCTTAAGCAAAGAGGATGTCAATACATTCACATGAAGACACACCACACGTACATTTGCTTGTGAAATTTGATACTCTGCGCAGTTGCTTTGATATCCAAGACTTTGCAGAAAGTGAGAAAGTAATACAAGTGTCACTACCCTGACCGTTACCAGCATAAAAATTGAAATGACAAGTTTCATTTAGTGCAATTTGCAGACGGGACTGCTAAAAAAAAGTTTAATGTTTGCTCTAACCATCAGGCAGCAAAATTGAGCCTGACTTACCTAAAACCCACTTAGTAAAGTGACCTTTAAATATTTTGTCCCATTAGTCATCTTACTGCTGGTATTATGAAATGCCAAGTTTTCATGTACAATTTACATATTGTCGCGGGAAGAAACCAGGCCCACGATTGCAGAGTTGGTGTATTGACAGTGATCGCAGAGGTTGCCCTGGCAGTGATAAATCCTGTTGTCTTCCTCCAAACCGCAACAATATTTTTTTCGTGTTCTTGTTGAAAGTGCGTCAGTGCGGTTTTAGTTTGATGTTTTACCATACAGGCTTTATATTTCATATTTTCTTTATTGAACATGCTTTAGCACTGTATAAAGTTTTCTGTGATGGTGGAAATAGCATTCGTAGAAGCAATGTTGTAGTAATAATGTGAGACCATTACTTACCTTATTGCGTGACCTCGCCATCATCAAAAAGCATGTCAGAAAGCTGTGGCTGAACAATATCATATTTTTCATAACTAAGTAAGTGGCCAGAGTTAGGATTTGAACTTCTGCCCCGCCACCACTACTACCACTCTGTAGTTAAGTGTGCTAAAAACTGTGCATCTATTATGTTGTACCATGTTTGCAATAGGTGACAGTGATGAACGGCTTTGTAAGTGGTTGAGTTCTGCTTGGTGGGCAATTCATTAGATGGCTCTAGAGCTGCTTGTTCTGCTTTTCGCATTGTGCACTTCAGGTGACAGCGTTTCAGGCACACTTCATTTCGTGACAATTACTGCTCTCGCACTTTCACATGATAAGAATTATTTAGTTACTTGTACAGTTTTTTTATATTAGTAACTTGTCGCACCATTGTCTTGATTGCAGGAGCAGCATTTCAACATGCTTCAGTATGAATTGAAGTCTGAGAACATATCCCTGGCTTATGTATTCTGCCAGATGGAACAAGCCCTTGTAGAACTTCCAATAGAGGAGTATTCTGTGTGCCAAAACACTTTAGACAATGTAAGTGGGCTTTTCTGTGTCGTATTTTTGTGCAATTGGACTACATTTTGGTCATCAACATTTTTCTGATATTGACATCCTCACACATTGGCTGTAATAAGTGCATGATATAAGAGAGATAGGGAGAGAGAGAGAAACATTATTGGTGCACTAGTGCACTCCCAGTTTGAAGGCTTGTCCATGGGTGGAACCCTTATTTCATAACCCAGGAGCTGCAGTTGCCTGGTGCACTCTCCTGAACAGCAAGCTGACCCAACACATTGACACCACAGCAAAGCTTCCTACTGTTATTTGTTTAGGTGTGGTTGGTGCTATATTGATTTTGTTAATACACCCTTGTGAAATGTTAAACTGGCCGATGCATAGGAGTTGTGACAAATTTATGGGTATAGTGTAGAACACACTGTGTGATGTAATGTGTTCTTTGAAAATTTGTCTGTAATTGCCTCCTCAAATTAAACTCGACTTACATGATTAACATCTTGATAGGAGCATGCAGGATAGTTTGCTTGCATTCTGTGCCTATTATTTTGCTACCATACCTATTATAGGAAGGCTTCAAGTGAAAATTAGCTCTCAAAGTTTTTGTGGTAACTTTTGTGAAGTTCAAATGCGAAAAGGTCTTATCGTACCGAGTGCTTGGTATTTCGCCTTGCACTGTGGAATCAAGATAAAGCATGAGATGTCCTCACATGTGTAACACCAGGAGTCTGGAGGAGGCCTTGAGTTGAGTGTGTGGTATTGGTGGAAGGAGACTGAAATGCATCCAGGCAGGACAGGAAGGGAAGCAGGCAGTATGTGTAGGGGGAATATAGTAGGGGTCATAAAAGCCATTATGCCCCCACCATCTTTTTTTGGGAGTTTGGCTGCTGATCCGAAGATCACGGGTTCGATCCTGGCTGCGGTAGTCCCATGTTGATGGAAATAAAATGCTAGAAGCCCATGTGCTATGTGATGTCAGTGCATCGTAGAGAACACCAGATAGTTAAAATTTCTGGAACTTGTCACTATGGCATTCCTCATTATTGTATCATGGTTTTGGGACGCTAAACCCTAGATATTATTACTTCTTGCTAGTATGATGTGTGGCAGTTCCAAAGGTTGAGCAAGCTCAGATGACTGACCACTTAATGTGCACTCTCTCTGCTGTCACCCCAGAGCTCCACATGCCTAATGTTGTGCAGTTGAACACGCATATAATGAACTCGGGAGGGGGGGGGGGGGGGGTTGAAAGTAAATTAGTTCAATATGCTGTATAACTTGATATAAAGCTTTCAAAAAATTTGCTGCACTTTCGATGTAAATGTTGGTGCTCAAGTTGGCTTCATGGCACTGTTTCACGGTATTTTTTATTTTTTTTTCATGGGGATCCTTTTTCATTTTTTTATTTTTTCTAGTGTGTAGTTGGGGGCAGGTTATACGAAGAGATGTGTTCTAAAGGAGAAATTCGGTGTTGTCAATGTAAGTAGTGGCTCAACATTATATGTAGCTGTGTGCACTCGTTTGACGCCAGAAGCCTCTAGTCTGTTTTGGCCCGAGTGTAGGCCTTGGTTTTCAATATCATACTCGGCATACTTCTTAGATGCTGTACACAGCGGCGACATTAGACTTCTTTTATCTATGTTTGACTGAGTTGATTATTGGCAGCCTTAAGTAAAACATCCAGGTTCTTCCATTTTACGACAGTCTTTGTGTTAACACAAGGCTTGGAGAAGTGAACGGTGACTCCACACAATGGGCGACAACGAGAAATCAAGGGAGCAAGTGTGCAATTGGAAGTATTAGTTTCTACTCGCTCTGCGCGGTGCTTTCTTAATCGTACTGTTCACTTTCCAAAATGCGAGCAGGATGATCCCCAAGAAAAGCTAACTTTTTGTGAGAGTAAATGAAATTCTAGGGACATTTTACAATGCCCTATGTTCAATGTATAGAGTGTTGCAGCTATTTTTGTTCGACGTAGCAGTAAACTACCCTGTGCATTGATGTTACAAGCATTGTTGTGATGTTACAAGCATTGTTGTGTGCAACCACTGCTGGTGATGGTATCGGGGATTGGAATCACATTGACTTGAAGGCACTCAGCCCACTCAGGCCGTGTCAAAATTGAACTGCTGTCTTCCTAAAATGCTGCTAATAAAACTGCTATTGACAAAACAATCGTGGTTGGCCACCATGCAGGCATGAATCCACACACGTAATAGTGCACATACTCAGATTATTGCGCACATGTAATGAGTGCACATTATTCAGAATATTGAAGTTTTTGTCATTATTCCAGTAACAAATCAGCATGACACAGAAATTAATATGATACTTATACGAGGCAGAGGTACATAAATAATATTTGGTTATAATTTTAACATACAAGACATTTTTACTGTGCAACTGGAACCTGAGACATTTATCATTCACTTATCGTGGCTGTTGTGGTTGTCATTGCTCTTGCTAGTATGTGTGCTGTTTGTATTGTGTAATTTGTAGGAAAAGTGACTGATAAAGCTTTGATAGCATTTGGGGCATAGACACAATGATTCATTTCCTCGGAACTACTCACAGAAAATTTTCAGAGTCTAAATCAAGCATAACTTATTCAATAACAGGTGCAGTAGTTAGCAAGATAATAAACAAGCCAGGATGGTCTTTAGTAACCTACAAATATGTCCACACGCATCAGTCAATTCAACACATCACCAGTCGTGGTAGCTTAGCACGTGGGGTGTTGCTTTGCTAAGGGCACGGTTTAGGCTCCTGGCTGCAGTAGTTGCATTTTGATGGGGGGATAAATGCAAAAAACATCTGTGTGCTTAGATTTAGGTGCACGTTAAGTAACCTCACATAGCCCAAATTTAATCTAGAGTTCCCCGCTATTCGCTCATTTGCTCGGGCCCAACCATAAAATGCTGACGCAGTAATCTATTCCTTTGCTCTTGCCCTCGGCTCCTCTTCATGCTTTCACGCATGCTTGCTCTTTTCTTTGTGCTCCCAGCCAACCACTCTCATTGCGTCCTTACTTCAATATTTATTTTGTTTGTTTTGTCTGAAAGTTGTTAATTGGTAGGAATTATAAAATGTGATTTATTTCTGGCATGTAACAATCTTACTGGCGAAAATGAGCTTCAGAAAGTTAGTTTAAGAATCGGAAAGTTTGAAGCCAGAAGGACAAAGCTTAGACCCCCTCCCCCAACAAATATTTGATGATTGAATAAAGTCATTGAACTGAACAGGCATACTGGCATTTGCACACAACACTGATGCCTGATTTTCATCTGCCATAAAATTCCAAGCAAGCCGCCCCCCACCTGAGCAAGTGCCCCCCCCCCCCCCTCTTTTTTTCAAGAGATCTGCAATTTGTGCCAATGACAAAGCAAGCACCTCCCACCATCCCACTATCATTTCCACTGTTTTGATCACTATTTTGAAGTCAGTGAATGCATGCATACTTATTAAAGCATTTCATTACAACCACGGGTGCGAATTTTAAATCTTAGGGGCTGTTCCTCCGCCATCTTACATTTTGCTTCATGACCGAGCTAGGGCCGCCCCAAATCTTGCCAGATTATCTTTTTGTATGGGGGGGGGGGGGGGGGGGGCTTGCTTTGGATTTTAAAGTATTTTTTTAATAGCAATAGGAACACCTTTGGTGGGCATTTTACATTCGCGACAGTGTGCTATTCTGTATATGTTAGGTAGCTGTATACCATTGGAACTCGATCTAACGAAGTGATGATGGCACTCGAATTAATTTGTTGAAGTGGGAATTTTGTAAAATTTAGAAATTTCTCAGTGATTCGAAATCTAAAATTGTAATGTTGCAACACCCAAAAGCTGCCATGGCATTCCTTTTGCCAGCATCTCTTGCCTGCACGTTGATAAGTTTGTGAGGGCAGCCCAGACATAGAGTACTGTGTTAAGGCAATGCAAGTCACATAGACGGTCACATGAAGATATGACAGACCACCGATATGCAATGATGTGGAGAATAGTGCAGTAATTGTATATGTAGAGAGAGAACGACGCAAGGAGATAATCGATGCCATCTGTTGCGTAAACCGTGAAATCACCAAAGCAATGACCGCTGCCTATAGCAGCGTCTGGTACATAAGAGCACTATCGACTGCCGAGTGTGTAGTTCTGTGCATGGACGTGGCATGGACCTTGATCGCTCAAGCAGCGACTGTGAATTTTGCTCATAATGGTGCGATCGCAAATGCTAGTGTGTGCGATATCTTGACATATATTACTGGATGGCTTCTCTATGTGCTATGCTCCCACAGCTTACTTTGCGTAAGCTGTCGGACAACAGACAACATGAAAAGCGCTTCGCTCCCTGGAGTAGCTGTATTCACTTAATTAAGCCAGCATTTAAGCCAGCATTTTGTAGAGTTGCATGAGGTTGGATCCAAAAAAATTTGCTGCTAGCCTTTCTTCGTTTAACATTTCAATTCATTGCTGTCAAAATCATTACTTCACCCTATAGAACTTCATTTAAAGAGAATTCATAGTTTCGCTGCAAGGCATTGTACAAGGCACTGTCTGCATCACAGTTAAAAGGAGATGCTACTCGAAGACACTTTTTCTTTAATATTCACCCTAGCGCAATGAAACTTGAGCTGTTTATGGAACGTTTTATGTTGATTTCAAATATATAATTAGTTTTCTTGCAAGTTACATACTTTTAGATCTGCAACATGACAAAGTGAAAACCTTAACCCTTTTGCCCCCCCCTCTTCTCATCCCTAAAATTCTATAATTTTTTACCATTCATAGTTCATAATGCTGCAAATAAAGTGTAGAGTGCAAATAACTAATTAGGAAGCACATACAAAATATGTAATATGCGTGAAAAATAATAGACGTAAAAAGTCCATATTTCACGTATCCTAGTAAAGGTATACATACAATATTTTTATTATACAATAAAATATTGAAATTTAAACTAGATAATTGCATTTGTCATACTTTGGAAAAAATTTGGGCAAAATTTTATGTAGATACGAGCACTAGAAGTGCCCGAAAAAGGAGGGGCACATTGAAAAAAATGGCAAAATTTGCGTTTTGAGAAAAACGAGTTTTAAAGTTAAAATTGAGTTTTTATTTATGAAAAATATTATTAAATCAGATGAACTTTGCACACCAAAAAGAACAATTCTTCTTGTAGTGGCCACTGCGACTAAAATACGCCAGTACCATGAGTTTGTCCCTCTCGGCGTTTTCGAGCTGACTCCTCACAGACAGGGCCATGAAACGCTTGCCAAACTGCCTTGTGCCAACTGCAAGCTATTGAGAAGTTCAACAGGACTGCAAAATCCAAACAAAGTCCAGTGTCATGCCATTTTGCAGCCATGTTTGTGCCACATATCGTCATACATAATGGAAATGTCGTCCCTACCAAGTTCTCTCACTGCGAGCTCTTTCGACTTCTGAAGATTGGCGCTGACGTCATCCATTGCCGCATCACGAACTTTCCGGCTGACGGGTGTGAATGACTTTAATGCATTGGCTTTTGCAAGCCAACAACTGCCGCAAATCAGACCAGCTGCTCGTAGCCTATTCCTACAGAGCGCGCCACACAACGGCTTTCACTTGCGAGCAATGCCTTTTTTTCATTCATAATGGAGATAATTACACAAGAAAAGCATTGTTCAGCTGCGCTGCTCGAGAAGACATGGACCCCGAATAGGCTTCACAGCACATACAGGCGCGCAGCGGTCAATGGCGGTCCCAGATTCGTGCCACGTGATAAGCCAGTCACGGCGCTCGAAAAACGCGCAGAAGAGTGATTCTTTTTATTATTTCTTGCGCTGCATCAGCGAGAGAAACTGTTGTTATTTGAAGAGTGAGGCTCGACTCTTCGACTCATGCGATCAACAATGGCTAGCGGCGCATTATCTGCGGCAAGGTGCTCAAAGACTGCACACTTTCGACCTTTTAACGGGCACCTTGTGCTCTTTAGATGAAATTTTACAGCATTCCCAGTTAAGTCTCGACCTGTATTTTTTTTTCATAACAGTAGAGGTGCTAATCTTGTCAAAACAGGTGAAAATAAAAAAGCGGTAATTTTGAAAAAAAAATGTGTTTTTCAACCCGCATCTCCCCTTAAGTAGCTGTGATACAGACATTGTAACCTTGAGCTAGAAAAAGGGTAGCTGATGATTGCAATTCTTGTTATTTGCAAGTATATGAAACCATGGAAAGCACAGCGTAAGTTGTTTGTAGTTTTACATTATCTGGGTGCATAAATGGTAAGCTAAATAGCAATAAAAGTAGATGAACAAAAACAACTTGCTGCCATTGGGAACCATACCGAAATTTATAAATTACACTTGCATTGTTCTACCAGGCATGCTACAGGGGCACATTGTTCTACCAGGCATGCTACAGTAGCAGATGTTCTCATCTACATTCTTGGGTGTTTATGTACGTTTACATCATTTAGTTCTTAGAGTTGCAGCCAGCTTCGTTCTTTTTCATGGTGGTGGATCTGGAACATTCTTTTTTCTCAATAGCGTCATATAGTATGTGCACTTCTAGGAGCAGGCAGCTTTGTATTCTACACATACACATCAAAGCTGCGGTAGTAATGACATAGCTCTATACATACCCCACGTTCATTTCACATTTTGTTGTATTGCCTGCATTGGTTTTTAAACAAACATCTCTTAACACTCCGGGGGGTTGGGGCATTCTTAAACAGATATTTTGGACCATGTTTAGTGGCACTTACAGCTTCGCTGTATAAGCAACAGTTCATAAGACTTGTATTCATTTTTTCTTCTCCCCATTTGCTTCATACATTGTGGGGCTGCTAGTCCAAGATTTCTCTTCCGGTTAACTCCCTGCCTTTTCTATCTCATTTTGTCTTTCTCTCTGTCTGCTTCTGTTGAACAGTGGCTATGGTGCTCACCTGCTGACCCAAAGGTTGTGGGTTTGATCCTGGCAACAGTGGTCGCATTTTAATGGAGATGAAATGGTAGAGGCCCATGTACTATGCAATGTCAGTGCACGTTAAAGAACACCAGATCGTTGAAATTTTCAGAGCCCTCCACTATGGCATCTCTCATAATGTTCTTGTGGTTATAGCATGTAAAAACCCCACATTATTATTCTCTTTCTCTCTCTCATAGAATAAAATGGCATGTTGCAAAGGTTCTCATTAATTATTATGACTGTTGCAAATGCAGTAGGAATGCATTATGCTGGATGCTACATTGATGTCGAAAGATCAGTACCATTTCCACTATTTGAATAAATTCCCTGGGCTTTGTTCTTTTTATATTTAGGTGTTTATAAACTTTGTAAAGCAGCAGTCTGAAAGAGGACGAGAGCTGAAGTTCTGGTCATCAACTGGCAAACGGGCCTCTCCAATCAAAAAGAGCCAGGCAGGGCTGCCACTGGATGACACAATTGGAGACAGTGATGATGAGGACGACATTGGGGAGCGCCTTCAAAGATCTCAGGTAGGCATTCTTGCCCAAAAGGATTAATATTGCCATAGGTTTGCTTTCAACCAATCGACATGTTCTGGCATATCAGTTGCTTTGTGGTGCACGTTGCATGCCACTTACATGCAGAAAGTGGCCCCTCTGAAGTTCACACTACCTTGACTAATGATAAAATTCATAAATATGGTGCTCAAACCAGGTGGAAAATTGTAAAATTGCTTTAATCTGATAAGTTTTTGATACATTTTAATAAAAAATTTGCTGCTCTAAATAGATAAAAGGAATATCAATGCTGTAAAGAGAGCTTTTTGTTATAGCACTGCTACCAAGAGATACTTTTTGCAAGCTCAATCTTTCATTGTGTCTTTAGACAGACTGAATTTTTTCTGGATAAATGATGTCTTCAGGAGGTTCCACTCCTTTAGTGCCAAAATAAGAACCAAAACAAAATGGTTTGGCCCTTCCAATTTTAGTTCACTCACATTTAGGTAAGTTGTGTTGACCTAACAGCATTTTTGTATTGGTTATGCCTCAGAGTTTCAAAAGGCAGCATAAAGGCACCATGGAAGACCTAATAGTCCTCAAATTGGCTGGCATTCTTTGGAAAATTCATTTGAATCACCTTCGCTAGAGCTTGGCAATATAGCTCTGCCTTAGCTATGTACTGTAGCAGTAGCTGTTCTTTGCTGCTTCTTTGTGAATGAAATGTGCCAGGGTTTCTGGCATGAACAAGCTTTAATTCAGCTGAACTGCCTTTGTTGCCCAATCGTTGCCTACAGTCACAACTATATTCTTAACATGCGCTGTTGCTGAATGTGAAAAAAAACTCAAAATGCAAGTGTACACCTCTCCACTTTCTCTTTCACACCACCTTGAGTTCCCGGTAAACCACTTGAACTCTGCACATAAGTCGGTGAGCTACATGCTGCTCGAAGTGTTTTAAGAAACTTGCATGAGTGAGGGATTTTTTCGTGGCTGTAATGAAACAAAAGGACAGCATGTATCCAGCCTTGTAGCAGATGCGGAGCAAGTATTAGCAGACGACATCCTCCTGATCAAGGCAAAGGACATTTTGCAGTTTCCCGCAAAATATATCTGCCACAAATTCATGTCAGTTCTGCTGGCGACCACACATTTCCATTGGCACTGTGTAAATTGGCAAAAGGTATCATTGTATAGCACAAATATTATATACCGTTCACACCTTATGCCAGTACGTCTCCTGCAATATGTAATAGCGACAGTAGCGTAAATACAAAATGGCACGGAGTCAACTGACATTTTCAATCTAATTATATATTATATACGAAAGCAGGGAAGAAAAAATTAGTTATGACACATTCGGATGGTCATTTTCAAGCACTACAGATGGCTTTGAAAAGTGGCAACACATTGAGGCAATAGGAGCCAAGTCTTTGGACTACGTTCGAATGGTTCTTTCAGGGTTCTTTCAGAGTTTCAGCCTTCCTGTCGGAGCACTCCCAGCCACTCTGACGTTGAAGAGAGAGTGTTGGTGGGATCTTGTTAGAGGATGTGTAATGTGCATACATCGGCAAAACTTCTGGTGCTCACTCAGACTCACTTATGAAATATATTTTGTGCCTAGGGCTCAGTTGAACTCAGACTCGCCAAATTTTCTTGAGCTGGACTCACTCAGACTTAAACTTACGGAAATTATCCTCAACTGGACTCACTCGGGCTCAAACTCGCCTAAAGATTACTCCTTTAGACTCTCTTGAACTCGGACTCATGGCTCATTCTGAGTCTGAGGGAGTCAACTCATGAGTGTGTTAGCCTAGAATCAACTTTTCCGAACATGGTGTCGTTGCTCTTTAACTCCAATATCTTATGTAATCGGTGCCCATCTTGGCGCCTTTTGATATAGCACCTTCGAATACGAATTGAGTGCTTGCAAACCAGCAAGATTATTTTCTTGGAAGAGGTGATAAAGGAAGGTATATTTATCAAGAACTTCCCTAAAAGAGTTGGAGGGCACCCCTTTAAGAATATAAGCCTCTGATGAATAAATGTTGAATTGGTGTATGAACAACACTGCTATGGAATACGTGTGAGTAGACTGGAGTATAAACGTGAATTCATGGGAGGCTGATAGTATAATGCTAAAGATCAGTAGATCAGTAGATTGACCCGTACATCGGCAAAAAAAAAAAAAGTAGAGCTCTCTTAGATTCTCTCAAGAAATATATCTTGAGCTTTAGATTCATTCGGACTCAGACTCACCAAAATATGACTCACCCTGACTCTCTCAGACTCAAATTCACTGCCTGAACTGAGTCTGAGTGAGTCTACTCATGAGTCAGTTCATCGAACTTTGGTTACGTGTAAACCACTAGCTGCTGTGGTTTACACGATTGCCACGATTGTTGACAGGTGGCAGCACCGGGGCGCATGTATTTATTATCTACACCTTCAGGAGTTTTGGAGTGAAATATTACTTAAGGCATCATCTGGGTCTGTTGGATTGTACCATGCTTTTTCATGCATTCAATAATATATAACTACACCATGTTATAGCGGAGGTGGCTACTAATGGCGTAAGAATCATAGCGCAGCTTTTACAGCACCTTGCCACTGAAGGCCTTCAAGGTACCTGCTCGCATGACGAAGACGATCGCCAAATTTATGCGAACAAGTGCACACAAAGGAGTCACTGCATTGAGGTACTTCACTGCTGAATGGTGCCATTTGTTGATGTCGCACACAAATGTTCGTTTACAAGGGGGATTTTCACAGTGCCCACACTGTGGAACTATCACTGGTGGATTACAAGGGGGCTTTTCACAGTGCCCACACTGTGGAACTATCACTGGTGGATTTGGTTGGTACATTGAATCTCCTGCTCAGATTATGAGTAGCTCTCGCATCTGTCTACCATGAGCCAGAAAACAAGAGCTGCCAATTGAATACACCTCTGGTATCTATAAATAGGACCAATTATGTCATTCATTTACCACCGATTGCTAGCTCATATTTGGAAATTACATTTGCTAATTTGTGCAGAAGGCAGCAGCGTTCACATTTTGCAAATATCACAGTATGGCACGCTGCGTAGACACTCCATCAAAAATAATTCCTGCACCTCTCTTCTTTTCACCCGCTCAGTGACGCGCTATGTGCAACATTATGTAGCACTGCCTTTTTCGATTGGTTCCTTGCACTACGGAATGGCACCTCGGCCCTGCAGTGATGCAGTTTTGGCTACGTACTCAGCGTTTTATTGATTTTCATTTTCCTGTGCTGCCTTCTGCTGTTTTTGTAGAGCTGAGACTACCAGGATAGGTGGTATTACCAGAACGAAAGTCTCTGGTGTTGCATTCTAATGGCCGAGTCGGAGCAAGTTTTTATGCTCCTTTTAGAGAAAGTGTGTTCTAATGGCAGAGTGAGATTAGGAGTCGAGAGTTCTAATGAGATGTCAGACTGTCAAAGTGTATTCCATTGAGCAAGAAGAGCTGCTTTGCTGAAATCAGTGGACTGGAACTTGGCGTAGTGTAATTAATATGTTTGCCTATGTTTGCCTGCTTAGGGGCATCATCGAGGCCCGTGTGCTCAGGTTTGGGCGCACGTTAAAGAACCCCAGGTGGTCGAAATTTCCGGAGCCCTTCACTATGGCGTCTCTCATAATCATATGGTGGTTTTGGGATGTTAAACCCCACAAATCAATCAATCAGGGGCACCATCGATAGTCCGTTTTGGTGGTAATGGCGGACGACATGAAAGATCAAACCAGTAAATTATGCGGCATTGCTTTCGCTGCTTGATAGCAACAGTTCCAAGTCAGAGAAGTTTCCGCACAAGGACTTCATCGGATAGTGACTACTGCGTGCGAGCGAGAATTTGACAGCCGAATAGAATAACTGTATGCGAGGTACTCTGGGCGATCTTGTCACTCAAAAGATAAGCCTTGTGCTTCCACCTTGCTCCAGCAGCATGTGTTGTGTTCCAATTGTGGATCTCGAAGCGTTGCTCCTCACAAGAGTTGAGTGCTTGCTCGCGGACATTCAGAGGGCACCACTGAAACTTTTCCTAATATGGCGCGCCAGACTTCAGTTTCCACTGCTTTTTTTCACACAGTTAGTGCAGATTTCAAGATGATTGGTACTGCTATCTAAACACAATGCACATGCAATAACTCATATCTAAACAAAGTACATGTGCGATTACTGATTATTTGTAGCGTGCTTGTAAATCAGTTATGCCCAAACTTTGTGCTACATATTTTCAATCAAGAGCAAGATAATTGCTTGCTTGGAGTAGATAGAAGTTAGTTTGGTTGCCTTTCCACATGAGCACGAATGGGGCACTTAACTAGACTGTGCTGAACCTAGTACAAGCTGTCTATTGACAAGGTCAGACAATGAATGACTGATTTTTTGAAACTTCCACCTGCGTCCTTTTAATAATGTTAACTCAAAAAGCAGGAAGCATTCTTGATGCAATGACAGTGTTGACCTTTTGCTAAAGTAGTTAGCAGCACCTAGCTTTATCGTCGGAGAGTGTGAAATCTGAAATCCTTGCTGTTCATGGCTACATTGCAAGTATAGCTTGTATGCGTATCTTGCAAATTACTGTTTGTATCAGACACAAGGGTGTGGTCTATGCTTTTTTAGTGCAGTTACACCATTTACGTACACCTTCATTTGTTTCGTATGCCTGCTCGTACATCCTGCCAGGCGATTTCATGTTGTAGTCAACAGTCCGCTGCAGTGGAGCTATGGTGCTCGGCTGCAGACCCGAAGGTGGCGGATTGGAATCTGTTCACAGCGGTCACACTTCAATGGAGGCGAAATGTCAAAGGCTCGTGTACTGTGGAATGTCAGTGCATGTTAAAAAACTTCAGATGGTCAAAATTTCCAGAGCCCTCCTCTACAGCATTTCTCATAATCGTATGGTGGTTTTGGGACATAAAACTCCAGAGTGGCAAGCTATCATTATAACGGGAAGCTCATCATGGGTACGTGCAGTGGCTAGCCCACCTGTTGACTGTTGAGTCAACAGCTGGGCGAACAACTGCAAAGATTACGAGAGTGATGAGCTTTCATTCATATGATAACTTGCCACTTCTTTAAGCACATAGCAGGCCTGATAGAGCATATAGCTTGTTGCCAAGACTCTAAGGTGTGCAATATTGCTTCATTATGTGAGGTCATGTTTTATCTACAGAGAAGCAGCTACAAGTTAATATATTTTCTTATATAAAATTGTTTAATAAATTGAGGTTATAATTACTTTCAATAGGTTACATTTCAAACAAGTATGGCTGTATGTGCATGTAAGAGAACACACTTACCATAATGTTGTCAAATGTGTTCAACTCTGAATGTAAATGCAAAATGTGCCACATGGTTCTCACAATTGCTTGACACAATTAATAAACAGCATTTCCGTTTTTTTAGTTTTGTATTTAGTAAAAGTATTCATTTATGGTAGAATAGTACAATGCTAGAATTCGTGCAGGTTAAGAGCTCGAAAAAGTCACCTTACAATTGATTCTTTTGTGCCATACAGAGCCATCTGGCATTCCTCAACATGGATGTGGACTGCTGAAGGGCAGGTGCTGTCTGAAGCTGGTGATCAAAGAGCAGTGGCAACTGCTTCCCTTAATGTTTTTGTGAACTTCAGTTTCTAGTTTTTTCTTGCATGAACATGAGGTGATAGGGCTGCTGTGTTGCTGCCATTGTAATTGCTTTTACCTTGCTAACATCACAGTTGCTTCAAACATGACATACTCTTTTTCAAGGCTTGTATATTACATGTTCTAGTCATGATCTATACCCATGCTGAGCATCCTGATCAGCACAACATATATATGCAGTAGAGCTACTGAATACGTGCTCGCCATTATCAGTGCCTCAGGACTGTGGCCAATAGTCCTCCCTTGTTTCCATGCGCTCACATCATCAATTGACAAAATTGTGTCAATGTAGTATGCTTGGAAGCCGCTCCTAGCACTATGTGACATTTTGAGGTCACATTTACTTTTCCCTTACATACTGTGTGTGTTGTGTAAAAGTGATCTTTGTGATGTGTAAGGTGACTTGCTGCTTAAATAAATGTGTTTTGACTGGAGAAGTCATTTTCTGCTAAAAGCACAAGCCAGAAACCTAACCTTCTCCAGTTAATTTGATTTTTAAAAACTAAGCCTATGAAGAAGTGCATTCATATGATATTATGGGGAAAAAAATCTGACATTTGAAGACTGTTTTAGTTTTACCAAACCACGAAAAATGCATGTGATGACAAACTTTGCCAAAAATAAAAATGTTTAGATTTTTTTTGTAAGACCTGCATTTTTACTGTGAAAGCTGTTTTAAATTAGAGTAATACGCAATTTTGATGGCCTAGATGTCCACCACTATCAGTGTCTAACTACTATCAAGTACATCAAGAAAAAGATACCCAGGATCAACTGGGTTTTGAACCGAGGTCCTCTGCATGGCAGTCAAGTATTTTACCACAGTTTTATTTTGGCGATTGAAAGCTTCTACGCTAAAAGACTCTGTACAGGTGTCATGTCAAGCAAACGATCTTATTAACAGGCATAATAAAGCATAGTAGAAGAGTAAAATATAAACCTGGTGTCAGACAATGCAAATTGCATAACGAGTGGGTGGTTTAAAGCTGCCCCCCCCCCCCCTTTTAAAGGGCTCAGCTTTTTAAAGGGCTCTTCATCATGAGCCAAAGTATCAACGAAGTGTACATAATCCCTAACAGATGTGTAATTGGTACCCCACTTTTTTACAGAATTATAATGGCATTGTAGCTGCTTCCCTACTTTGCAAAACTATGATGATTCATTGTAGTGGGCACCTTAGAACTGTACTTGCAGTAGTTGCCCAAGAGAATTTACAGCTGGTTCTAAAAAGGCCACTCCTCCAGCTTTTCTTGCCTCAGTTTTCTGTGTGTGTTTCACATAGGCGGGGCATTTTTTGTAGCGCTTTGTTTCTCTGAAAAATCATTTCAGCAGCATTTCTTTTTACAGCAGAGTTGTTGCGCTTTTTGTATGCCATGCAGAGCCGATAGAAAACTCGGCGGGTATGATCCACAGAAAGCGGGTATGTGCCAAGCAGCTCCAAGCATAGCATTGCCATGCATAGCATAGTGTAGCAATAGGCAAAGCCATCTACAGCTGCTCATGTGACATGTTCTCGTCAAAACCACATAAAGTAACGTTTCCGCAAAATCCAAGTACAGCTACTCTCATGGAATGTTCTCACCAAAACCTTTCTGGGACTGCATTTCTGATCACAATGAACATTTGGTGCAGTTGCCACCCTCTCTAGCCCAGCCAGCTCCTTTCAATAAGTACGAAAGGAAAGTGCTCTCAATAAGGAAGGGAAGAAAGACAGAAAAAGAACGAAAGAGAAAGAAATAAGTGGGAAAAAAAAGGAATTCTGAGGGGTTTTTTTATGCACCCTTAATAAAAATCACTGGATCCACAGAAAGCGGGTATGTGCCAAGCAGCTCCAAGCATAGCATTGTCATGCATAGCATAGTGTAGCAATAGGCAAAGCCATCTACAGCTGCTCATGTGACATGTTCTTGCCAAAACCACATAAAGTAACGTTTCCGCAAAATCCAAGTACAGCTACTCTCATGGAATGTTCTCACCAAAACCTTTCTGGGACTGCATTTCTGATCACAATGAACATTTGGTGCAGTTGCCACCCTCTCTAGCCCAGCCAGCTCCTTTCAATAAGTACGAAAGGAAAGTGCTCTCAATAAGGAAGGGAAGAAAGACAGAAAAAGAACGAAAGAGAAAGAAATAAGTGGAAAAAAAAAAAGGAATTCTGAGGGGTTTTTTTATGCACCCTTAATAAAAATCACTGGCTTTTTACTAAGAGAAAGAAATAGAAAGATAGAAATAAACAAATACACTAAGAGAAATAAATGGAAAGAGAGAAATAAACAGATACAAACAAGAGATAGAAAAAACAGAGATCAAGACAGAAGAGGAAAGAAAAAGAGAAAGAATTATAAAGGGAAGAAAAAAACTAAATGAGTGAGAAAGGAGAGAAATAGATAGAGGAAGAAAGAAATAAGAAAAAAAACAGAAACAGAGAAAGGAAGAAAGTGAGAAAAAAAAACTGGCAGTTGTTTCGTGTATGAATACTACCGGTGAGCAAAGCTTCTTAGATATGGGACGGAAACTACTATGAGTCTGATCTCGCTGCTGGCTTTAATGAAGGCGATGGGGTGGGGAGCAAGTGGTGGCAACGACTGAACAAGTGAGAACCACCTGCTGCTGCGCCTGCACTCGCCGGGAGGGCGCACCTGTTGTTTTGCTTGGCGCGCTTGTCCGGCGCTGGGAGCTTCGATGGTGACAGCGGAGTGTCGCCCTATGAAGCTTCGCACCACTATACTTGGAGCTACCTAGTCAACAATATCTAGTCTATCATTATGCATCCAGGAGCCTCTTTCTCCATGCCTAAACACTGTAACAGCATCCCTATTGGAGTATACTTCAACTTTATTTAACAGTCTAGTTAAATTTAGTGTTCATTATTTTTATTGTATTCTCTAATGCCAGAATTTTGTTTAGTTGCATAGAATAGGATCCTAACGCTTTGGAACACATTGTCCTGATTCGAAGATGAAACACACCTTTTCAGTTTCTATCCACTATTTGCAAGGAATAGACCACAAAAAATGACCTAACAGCAAATTAAGCATTCTTGTTGCCTTAAAGGACCCCTCACCAGGTTTGACAATTTTGAGCTGACGAGCACAATGCATGTTCATGATCACACCTGCCGAAATTCGCAATGCTATGCACCGCGAAAAAGGGTCAAATTTTAAGCTGAACATCGCTTGCCTCTTTTCTTTCGTGCTCGCGCCCTGAGAATCAGGGGATGGCGTACAATGACAGAATTGCTTTATGTAGAGAGTATTGCTGCGACGTGGGTCCTCTACGCAGACGACTGTGCAATGACGTCGTCAACAGTAGCACGTGACATGACAAAGTTTTTACACGACAGGTGTAGGTTGTGCAATTTGTTCCTTGAATAAATGAATGCAACTTGACAGAAATAATGAGGTGCACTAAGGAAATGTGTGCATCTTTTTTTTTTCTGTGAACGACAGCGATATGCGGGGCTAGTGTGCCTCCGTTTCACATGTGTTTGTGTCCCTGCGATTAAGGCATCAAGCAGATGCCAGCCCTGGAAACGAAAGTAATGTCCTGGTACATTTGAGAGCTCATTATGCTCATTTATTCTAGTGCATTCAAGTAAGTGGTAAACGTTAATGCGGCACTGGCTTATGATACTGCCACTCTCATGCCAGTGAAATGTCGCAGTTTTCGGGCTCAGTAATAGGTTGCGAGCCTGATGATCACCGAGACAATAAACCACACATTAACGCTGGTCAGCAAAACAACCCTGTACGCATGCTTAGGGGCTTGCTCGAGCTCGTAATACGCACATGCTCTGATGTGTGCATGACGTGTTTCTCTCACTTGGATGCCGGAGAAGGTAGGGAAGGGCTTGGCTTGTGAAGGCTACGTGGGGCAAGCAGCAAGAGGTTCGAGCTCACCTCCTCACATTATGGTTTCACGCTGCTTCAAAGTACTGGTTTTCTCAGCTCCTAACAAACCAATTGAAATAAATTATTGTGGAATAATGATATTCATCGAACACACAACAGACGCCGCTGTTTAACTAAAATTTGTTGAGGCCGAGTGAGGGGCCTTTAAAGTTTCTTTGTATCATTTTTGTATGAAATATTTTTCTACAAAGGAACACTTTGGTGAAGGCAGTACCATGTTTAACGAAACACTGGACCTAGGCACTTTAGCAGGAATTTCAAAATATGTACATTTTTTTTACTTTTTTAATGAATGCTTGCTCAGCTAATAACTCTTGCATGTAGACTCGAAGCCAACAATGTTGAACTCGGGTAAATCGAATTGTTCTTTATTTTTTAGCACGACGATGCTTTAACATCATCACATTAACGTCAACCCGGTCTTTTATACCTGCAAACTTTTTAATCTCATCGGCCCACCTAACTTTCTGTCTCCCTTTTGTGCATTTGCCTTCTCTGAGAATCCAGTCAGTTACCCTTGATGACCAGCGGTTATTTTGCCGACGTGCTACGTGCCCGACCCATGTTCATTTCTTCTTGATTTCAAGTATGATATCCTTATGCCCGGTTTGTTCCCTGACCCACTCGCTTTCTTCTTGTTCTGAAGGTTGCACCTATCTTTTTTTTTTTTCCCGTCACTCACTGCGTCGTCCTCAATTTAAGCTGAACCCTCTTTGCAAGCCTCCGGGTTTCTGCTTCATAGGTAAGTACTGGCAAGATGCAGCTGTTATATACTTTCCTCTTGAGTGTTAGTGGCAGATTGCCATTTGTGATTTGAGAATGCTTGCTGAATGTGATCCACCCTGACCTTATTCTAGTTATTTCACTCTTATGGTTTGGCTCCGCGGTTACTACTTGTCCTAAGTAGGCATATTCCTTTACAACTTCTAACGTCTCTCCACCTATCGCAAAGTGCTGCTTTCTGCCGAGACTGTTGCACATTACTTTAGTTTTATGCATATTATTTTTTCTGACCTACACTTCTTTTTTATGTGTCCAGTTCAATAATAATGAGCTGTAATTCGTCCCCTTGATTTACTCATCAAGGCAATGTCATCAGCAAATCGCAGGTTACAATGATACTGTCCATTAACTCTTATTACTAACTCTTCCCAATCTAGGGCCCTGAAAACCTCCTGTAAACACGTGGTGAATAGCATTGGAGAAATCGTGTCTTCCTGCCTTACACTTTTTTTTATTGGGATTCTGTCCCTTTCTTTATGGAGAACTATGGTGGCTGTGGATCCAAGGTATATTTCTTCCAGTATGTTTATGTAGGCTTCTTCATTGCCTTGATTTCATACATAGTGGCTGCATTACTATTGATCTCTCGACTGAGTCAAACGCTTTCTCATAATTCATGAAAGCTATGTATAGGGGTTGGTTGTATTCCACACATTTCTTTATTACCTGATTGGTAGTAAGATTATAGTCTATTCTGGAGTAGCCTGTACGAAATCTTGCTTGGTCCTTTGGTTGATTGAACTCTAATGCCGCCTTAGTTCTATTAGCTGTTATTTTTGTAAATTGTTTGTAGAGAATGGGCAGTAAGCTGATCGGCCTGTAATTTTTCAAGTCCTTGATATCTCCTTTCTTATCGATTATCGAACCAAATAGTCGAAACACAGAATATATTGAATGTCACGAAGTGTGGCACGCCACAAGAAGTTGGCCTTTTCTGGTGGAAGTGGACTTTCTCACATGCATTTGAAAGTGTCAGCGATGTTATTAGAAGAGCGCTGCATAGAGCAAGTGGTAGCCATTGCTATCCATGCTTCCTTGTTGTGGCCATTGTGCAGAGTCGGCATTCGTTTAGCGGCTTCCTTTGCTACCTTAATGGCTGTCGTAAAACAGTAGAACCTAGCTGTTCTCTGCAAAGCTGACAGTAATACAGTTGAACATGGAGAAAAGAGTTCTGATGTTGCCGCTGAGTACAGCATTCCAAAAAGCATGCTGAATGAATTTAAAAACAGTGCCAACATTAG